CCCGCCACCTGATCCAACTCACCACCAGGTGGTGATCAGTTACATTGTGTTGATGACTATAACCGATTTTTAGAAACTGTTTTAAATTACAGACATTTAACTCATTTTAAATGTCTCCTTTCAATTTTTCAGATGCACGGGTGCCAACTTAACCTGAGAATTCATGGCCCATTAAGCCATTTCAATAGGAAACACACCATGTTAATCATTACATAATCAACCTAGTGTATTTCCCACATTGGTGTGCAGGGTTGCTTAGGAGTCGGCGCTGTCAGCTGTGACACAGTGTGTTTCTTTGTGTTTCAGATCCATGTATGTTAGATTCAGTCTGTGCACATGTATGCGTTATTATTCAAGTGTATTGCCATATTCCAGCAGAATCCCAGATTCCCTGATAATGGGATTGTGAGTAAATATTTTTTTCAGCAGTTTGCTCATTTTTTGTTCTAAAAAAGTTGATTTCTATCAAAAGATTGAATGTAAAAAGATAATCCTGATTTTGTGCGACTTGGGCAGTTTGCTGATGTTAAGAATGATGTATTACTAAATGACTACTTGGAGTATAAATCTAGGAAATATTTTATAGGTAATCAGTCTTAGTTTAAATAGTTCTCGCTCTCTCTCGCTCTCTCTCAGTTACATTTGTATAGAACTTCTAAAGTTATTTTTGATGGTTTGTTTTTTCTGGAATGCTGCCAGTATTGGGTATATTGGGACTCCATTGAATTTAACACTTTCAATAATTTCTTAAGAAATAAAAGTCAATCCTGTTCTGAACATGTTAATTATGATTGCTTTTTCTTTTCATACGCAGCATATGACATGACGTGAGATCGCTGACATGAGGTTTTTATACTGACATAGTGCAAATAAAGATCAAATAAAGCAGTTTGCTTGAAACAACAACTTGGAACCTGAACACAACATTCCCCCAACATTTTCAGTTTCTAGTGTGGTGTTGTCAACACCAGCCTAAACATGCCTGACGGTGTTCTCTGGATAAATCCCGTACTCTACCTGAATCTTGGCCAGAGCTCAGTGTTTTACTGTAGTTAAACAGAAGATGGCAGCATCTGTGTTGTAATGAGCGGAATTTTAGCAAGAGACAAGTGTATCAATCTGTCAGAAATATATGCAGACACCAGTATATGTTAGGGCAGCTAAAGGAAGCAGAATTGGATAAGCAGAAGACGAATGGAGGGAGGGAGCTGTGTAATGAGATGCATGCAGGTGATAAGAATCAAAGACAATGAGGCAAGTAAAACTGAAGGCAAGATACTGGAGACGGGTATCTACTAAAATAAAATAGGAAACGAGAAGCAATAGCTAAACAGGAAATGAGACAAGAATTTAAGGGGAATTGACAGATGAGAAAGGGCCAAGAAACTGAGGGAACAAACTAAACTGAAACATAATTCGTGAAAGGAAATATATTAAGTTGAAAAGATAAACACAAAGAAAACTAAGAATTAAACATATTATTCAGTAAGCAAGACATGAGAGCACAAAACCTCAAAATGCTGGGTCAAAGACCTCTGATCATCACACTCCTTTCTGGCTGAAAAATGTAAAATATTATTATTACTTATTATTGTTAATACTTATCCAATTTTTATATATTTAGCAAATATATATATGTATATATATGTATGTGTACACACACACACACACACACACATATATATATATATATATATATATATATATATATATATATATACTGTACATACATACAGGGAGTGCAGAATTATTAGGCAAGTTGTATTTTTGAGGAATAATTTTATTATTGAACAACAACCATGTTCTCAATGAACCCAAAAAACTAATTAATATCAAAGCTGAATGTTTTTGGAAGTAGTTTTTAGTTTGTTTTTAGTTTTAGCTATTTTAGGGGGATATCTGTGTGTGCAGGTGACTATTACTGTGCATAATTATTAGGCAACTTAACAAAAAACAAATATATACCCATTTCAATTATTTATTTTTACCAGTGAAACCAATATAACATCTCCACATTCACAAATATACATTTCTGACATTCAAAAACAAAACAAAAACAAATCAGCGACCAATATAGCCACCTTTCTTTGCAAGGACACTCAAAAGCCTGCCATCCATGGATTCTGTCAGTGTTTTGATCTGTTCACCATCAACATTGCGTGCAGCAGCAACCACAGCCTCCCAGACACTGTTCAGAGAGGTGTACTGTTTTCCCTCCTTGTAAATCTCACATTTGATGATGGACCACAGGTTCTCAATGGGGTTCAGATCAGGTGAACAAGGAGGCCATGTCATTAGTTTTTCTTCTTTTATACCCTTTCTTGCCAGCCACGCTGTGGAGTACTTGGACGCGTGTGATGGAGCATTGTCCTGCATGAAAATCATGTTTTTCTTGAAGGATGCAGACTTCTTCCTGTACCACTGCTTGAAGAAGGTGTCTTCCAGAAACTGGCAGTAGGACTGGGAGTTGAGCTTGACTCCATCCTCAACCCGAAAAGGCCCCACAAGCTCATCTTTGATGATACCAGCCCAAACCAGTACTCCACCTCCACCTTGCTGGCGTCTGAGTCGGACTGGAGCTCTCTGCCTTTACCAATCCAGCCACGGGCCCATCCATCTGGCCCATCAAGACTCACTCTCATTTCATCAGTCCATAAAACCTTAG